TTCACGTCAGAAACCAATAGAATAGTGACTCCCAGGATCAAAAGTGATTATGTAAATATATATAGGTAATTTCTGCAGGTTTTTTTTTTATGCTCTATTTAGACAACAATTTAGACATTAGATTTCAATATTTATTTGAAAGCTCGGTATCGACCTGCGGGATTGGGACCTTGACATAATTAATTGATGCGACACTGGGTGTTTAATCGTTTAGGGAAAGACTTATGACCCAAAAAATATTAATAAAATTCTCATGATCGAAACAAAGAGCTAAACACTTATCTCGTAGGTAACGGTTTGTTTATCATACACGAAACTTTGACAAAGAACAGAATTACGTTGATTTTATTCTTTAGATGGGCGGACGATCTCACAGCTCAGCTGGTGCTAAGTAGTTACCGGAGTCCATGGGCATCAACAACGTAGCCACCCGCGTTGAGAGTTGAGTTTAGTTATTACAGTACAATGGCTGCCCCACTGTTCAAACCGAAACGCTATTTGTCATTATCCTAGAAAAAGTTGACCACTAAACATAACAGATAATTGAACAATGACGTCAATATTTATTGCGACATTTGTAACATTTTGGCTATAATTCAATATTAAGATTTGACATTCTGATTCTTATCCAACGATCATTTATATATTAATACGTGAAGCAAAAACTTTGTATCCCTTTTAACGAAAATTGCGCGGACGGAGGAGTATGAAATTTTCCACACTTATAGAGAATATAGAGAAGAAGTGCACAATGCTATTTTTTTAAAATAATGCATAAAAGATACATTAAATCAATAAAGAAAACATTACACACACTACATACCATGTATCTGACGCACACACGCATGCATACTATTTATTGTCAAACTTTTGTTCTTGACGTCTGTTGTCAAATTGAGATTCAATATTGTTTGTCCTTGTTAATATTTTTTATAGTGTAGTCTTGGAGAAATTTGTGATTATAGAAGTATAAAATACAATCACAATAGTGTACAAACTTACAATTTCAATTAATTATAGTCGAATTTCGACTACTGCGGGACCTCTAGTAGCCTTTATTACACGTTGTTTTATCATCATAAAAGGAATTTCTTTATTCTTTATTCTTTATTCTCGTCATTCGAAATTTCTTTAGTAAATATTGAAAATTTACTATTACAATACACGAGATGGACTTTCCTTATCCGTCTACAAATAACAGTTACCAAAGTAAAAAATAAAAATTCTACCGCTACCAGAAGCATAAGGAAGAAGCCGGTTAATATAACTGTCTGCCTCATTATGAGACGGAGTTAACTAATTTTACAGCCTAAGTTTAAATCCAGAGACGTTAAACCGTGTTTCGGACGACTGCGACTGTCAGATTTGACGTTTACTGCAGTTTACAACCGAAGCTGTGACTTTAATAGCTGGCAACACTGGCTGGCTCAGTTTCGATTAAAGTTATCGAATTATCTTGAATAATTATTATCCTTGCGTATTCAAAATTATAAGATTATCGTTCGATTAATTGATAGAAAGTGGGTGTTTTAAATTAAATAAAAAATTTAAACAATATTTTTTATCTATTATTTATTTCTTCATAACAAAGAAAAGGCACGTATAAATCATGTAAATAAGAATTAAATATTAAATTCGGCTATTTTCCAAAAAAAATTAAACTCTGAGAGAAAATGAGCCCATTTCATTAATATGTATCATAATTCTAAGAACTATTTATAGGTCCTTAGTTATGGTGAACACACGTTATCACGTATATTGCTTTCAGAAACATTATATTATTGACTATATCCGCGATTGACGTTTGAATGTGGAGCAGCCTTTATTTAACACATGTAGAAAATAATAATATATAATATTAGGTACTTGATCCTAAATTACACCGAGCTTAAATAATTTTTTTTTAATATTTATAGTTTACTACTACTACAAAAAAACATTTCAATGCAATTTACATTGTCTGGTTAGTCCAAAATTCAAAATTATTTTCCGGGGGATCCTTTAGCGATACGAATCGTCTTTCGTAACGTAATTTGGTGTAAGTACTAAAACTAAAACTACAGGGTCATTTGAATATTGTTAATTAAAAAAAATGCTAACGCTTTCTCTTATCAACAGCTGTTCCAAAAGCTTCTTCGCGCGCCCCCGAATGGCGGTTATGTTTCACACTCTGTTGAGTACAAATGCCAGGTGGGTCGTGAGTTTTTTTTGGTCTCTAAGGTCACAATAGTATATGTAGTTTAAAAACAATCAATCCCGTTGTTCAAGATATTAGAGCGAAGTTATAAAATTATTACATTGCCATCATGGGTCCTTGTTGCGTATGCGAATTTTCAACTTAATCGGACGTCATCAAGTTAACGAAAATGAAGTTCAAGTGATATATATATAACCTGCATAAAATTTATGATTCAGATAATGTGAAACGCAATGGATTTTCACGGAATAAAAAGGCACTTCTGTTACACAGATTTGTACATTCCCAGTCGATTTGTTATAGGAGATAGGCCCGGCTTCACCCGGGCTATTTACCATGGTACAAAGTATCCTATCCGCTAATAAAAGTTATTATAAACTATAAATCTTAATACGAAATTTCATCAGAATTCATTCAGCCATTTTTGTGCGTCCGAGTATACCAAATATCCCAAACACTTAAACTTTAGAATTTATAATATACACATAAAAGGGAAATAAATTGTTCTCGCAATTTAATGTTCGCAATTCTTATTAAATTATTATAGTTGCCTTCAAGCATGCATTCTATACATCTACATATTACCAACAATGTTAATTAGCTATTCGTTTTATTCGTCCAAGTGACCTTGACTTCTTTCGATTTTTATATTTTTTAAATAATAATTAAAGTCTTCTTTGTGTTTCAAATACGTTGAATGTTGAACACTTCACACCAATTAAATCTCAAGAAATCAAACAAACAATTCCGGTTTAGAACCGATATTCTAGAAGCATCAGGACAATGAAAGAGCCTTAAGGAGTGAGCCCGTGTCAAGACCAGGTGTTCGTACACTTATGGTTGAACGGAAATGTAATCGAGATAGCGATGTAACATGAATTCTTAATGAGGTTATTACGAGGGTTGTAATGTGATGTATTAATTAATATATTGTAAGGTTTATTGTAAAATAATTAAAACAAAAATAATAAAATGTATCATGTTAAACTTAAGGCAATTATCGGATTGTCAAATAGCAACACTGTTAGTAGGAGCAATGGCAGTACTGGGGACGTGACATAATAAAAAAGGCGGTAGTCTGGAAAAACGGGACAGAAAACAGTGTATTGGGTAGTGAGCAGATGTCTAAAGATTGTAAAAGTGGAGTTACAAATAAAGCAATACAGAATTGAGGAAACTACTGCAATCTGTGTATTTATATACTGGCTTTGGAGCATGAGTTCTACAATATAATACATTTATGTCCACGACATCGTACTGTCTGTTACGTCTCGAAGTTACAGGCATTAGGTCTTATATCTATCGAAATATTTTATCTGGAAAGTTTATGAGAAGTCGTCGTTGCAGTATATACTCATCATCATTCATTATCCTGCCCTTCTCCCAGTCACCTGGGGTCGGCGCAACATGTTTTCTCCTTCCATACTCTTCTATCATATACCATTTCTTCGCTCACTCCGATCTTACCCATATCGTCTTCCACACACAGTATATACAGTTGCAGTATATACTCATAGTTGTTAATAAAATTGTCATATAATAGTTTTGTGTGTAGCACGGTGTGAATATATATTATAACTACATTAAAGTTTTACGAAGTTAGAACATGTTTTTAATTTCCAAACTTTCTTGTCGTCAGTTTTTTAGTTCACTTTAGAATAAGTTTTTTTTTTGAGAACACACAGATGTTTTTTTGATTACACGGCTGTGTTGCCAACGACTTTGCTACTCTCGGTATCTTTTTCTAATGCACTAACTACCATTGGCCGTACCAGTAATGTAATTGTAATTTTGATATTTATTACAAAATATATGGTTTTATTTATACTGTTTAAAAAAAAAACATAACAATTTCAGAATGATTACTCTATAAGTTATAGGCCTAAAGAAAATGGATGTAATAAGTACACATGACGTGTCTGTGTTTGTTCTGGTGTCTACATGAGACCTCAAAATTAAAAGGGATTGTCGATGAATGAATCTGGTGACTATTTCATATAAGAGCAGGCTTTGGACTAGTGTTTAGTTAAAATCTTCACACAACTCGTCGATGAGTGTTTGTCAAATTTAAAGCAAACGCCGCCATAATTTGTGTGCCTTTGGCACACGAATCCTTGGTCTTTGTAAATATTTTCCGTCGGTACTGATTTTTATTTTTTTGCCGCTCTTCAAATTTACTTTTGTTAGCGAATATACGTGTTGTTATGTATTGAATTCATCAGGTTTGAGCCCCGTGAGCTCACCTACAAACGTTAGGGTTACGCTGAAATAGCCCCTAAGGCTATCAGCTTAGGTAGGAAAAAAAAAAGTATTGAATGAATCAATATGATCTACATTTGTTTTTTTTTTTGTTTTGACGTCCACAGATCGACAAAAGAACTCTTCGGTTGTAAACCATTCGTAATACTTACGATATTAAGCCGTAAATTTTTATTAGACAGTAGAAAGAAACAAACATATACATCTTTTGGGTTTACCATGAGAGAGAATGAGATAGGGTATTTCTGATCACTACTATAGCGTGAATTTCAAAAACGTTTTTTTATATCATAGGTATAGTCACACACAATTTATCTCATTGTAATGAAAGTTCGGTTTGAAGTTGCGAACTCAAGTGTACCTACTTTTAAAATTGATCACAAAAATACTTGAAGGTATTCGTATGATTTCAAATTCTTTACTATAAGTGTTAAAATAATTCAAATAAAACATAATCAGCTTGAATGCTCAGGACGGACGAACACATCAGTTTCAAAAATGTTTTATGTAATGCAATAATTATTATCTAAGTTCTACGACTCACCTGAGCTGGATGGTGACGATACAGGTACAGCTTAGTGCCCTGTAGCACTGCCCATACTTGCTTCCACGATCTATCGCTCGCTCTCTGCAAGAATTCATTCAACTTAACTATTTTCAACACGCTTTTATTGGCTTGACCCGCCACTATTTGTGTATTTAATGGCGTCTTTTCATGAATTCTCACCAATTTAAATACGTTCGATTAATTAGAAAAAATTTCATACACATCAAAGACCTAATATCCTGTTATATTAGCCTAATATCCTGACCAGGATTAATAATGCGGCTGTTGAAATTTATTTTTTATTATAGCTGTTATTCAAACGTCTTTTTAATCAGAACGAGAATGAGGAATCGTATCAAAGTTTTTATTTGCTGTTGTTTATAGTCCTAGGGTCCCCCGCTGGTACACAAGGTCCTCACACGTTATCACCACTTCACCCTGTATTTATTTTATTTGTTATTCACTTAATAATTTTTATTCGTTTTATATTTAATATTCAATGATCGTGGTTTCCAAATCACGTAAATGAACAGTCTCTTCAACCCCATACCTTGCCATTGCTGACCACCATCTTGACCTGCACGTTGCCTTCAACATCTCCCTCAATGGCTTCCTCTGAATTTTCCGCTGTTTCTTCATCACACTTCTTCTCGGGGCTGTTTAAAAATATATTTTTAATATATATAAAAATTATAAATAACACCACATTCAAATTTATTATTTGCTCATTTTAGACCAGCTTTTTTTTTTTTAACTGACAACACCAATGACCACAGTGCAACGACAACAGAACAACCATGCATTTTTTTTTCTTATTTGTATTTCGGTTAATTTCCTAACGTTGAACATGCATAAAAACCTATAGGTAACATAAAAAGTAGCATGCCAAAGATCTTCTGTTTTTTGTCAAATTTTTTAAGAAGTAACGTAAGACCTGCTTAAGTTTTATTGTATTAGAATTATGTTTTTGATGATTTAATTTAAACTATGAATCCTATGATTCATGTTCAATATTCGACGGCATATCGAATATTTTTAGTAATCAAGTGACCGTGCAAGCTCTTTCAATTATTAAACATCTAAGAAAAAATTAGTTCGGCGCCATCTATTAATGCATTTGTGAACTAGTTGCAAAACATTTTGATAAGCGCCATCTATTAGCTGCTTTGTAAGTTCGTCGTCAAGTGACGTACCGCGAAGGAAGAACAGCGTGTGGGTCGAATATTCGCAGCAACGGCGTTATGTCGTCCGTGAATCGAGGAGGGCGCCACTTGCGATACACACTGCATGTTCANAAAAATTAGTTCGGCGCCATCTATTAATGCATTTGTGAACTAGTTGCAAAACATTTTGATAAGCGCCATCTATTAGCTGCTTTGTAAGTTCGTCGTCAAGTGACGTACCGCGAAGGAAGAACAGCGTGTGGGTCGAATATTCGCAGCAACGGCGTTATGTCGTCCGTGAATCGAGGAGGGCGCCACTTGCGATACACACTGCATGTTCAATTCAATTTCTTTTAAGTACGTTAACAAAAGAAAACTACAAAGCCTCCTTTTGGTTAAAGTGAAAGATAGTTATTTACTAACTACACGAACGAAAGGACATCACAAAGGGATTAACTAGCTACTACATTCTATGTCATGATAAAAAATGTTTCTAATTTTAACAACTGTGACAGAATTTTCGTCTGGTCAACTATAAGTATAGAACGATGCTCCGTCAAACCTATAGTGTTACGCCAACAAAAAATACTTCGAGATATTGACACAAATATAAATCTATTCGAAGCATTACCTCCGTAGAGCGTGGTGGTCGCCGTCTGGCTCCACGTCACTGTCCAAGTGCAACCGATCGCCCCACGTCGCTTTTAGATACGACACCCTCCGCATCGCACGTTCTTCTTCTAAATAAACAAAAAATCAGTTCATTTAATGAGCACATAACTATGAAATACCTATTGGCAAATTTCACAAGAACTAACCGCCAAGTTGAGCGTCCTTCTTCTGTCTTCTCGTGACTAAGTCATCGGCAAAACCTGAGGGACGGATAGAATTTATGTCACTATTTACACTTATTAGCGATGCGTGTTCTTGCACATCGAAAACACAACAGTTAGTTCACGTTAGTAGCACACGAAAGTTCGTTATGGGTCAGATTTTTAAAGCTGTGTTCTGTAAGGACATGGAAGCTTGTAGATTTACATTCCTGAAGTGTTAGAGCTAAGAAATTGTTAAGGCATACCAATTTTACTTCGATTCTATTAGATGCGTAATCGAATCGATATCATTAGTTTTGCATCATGTATTCATTGAGAAACAAATATAATGTCTTTTTTAATTATATATTCGTTGATTTTTACAAATAATATGTTTCAGAGTTGTATGTACAATCGAATAAATACTGTGTTAGTTGAAGAGTTTGGTGGGTGCTGCATATACATATAATATTGTCGGCCATCACCATCGGCAAAAAGAGCTTGTGTTCAGAGTGTACGAACAGATATTTATCAGTGAATACATGGCTTAAAGAATTTGAGAGACAACATCGAAGCGGGCGGCGTTAGTTCATGCTGTTGGAGGGGTCGCGCTCGTTAGTACGTAAGCAAAGCGAGAGAGTGGCGCGCATGCTCGCTCGCTGGCCTGGCATGGCATGGCATGGCATGGCATGGCATGGCGTGCGTCGCGGGACCTGAGTCGGCGGGCGTGCTGGGCGTGGGGGAGGGCGAGGCGGAGGCGGGCGGCGGCGCGAGGCTGAGCTGCGTCGGCCTCTGCGGACCCAGCAGCGACACTCGATTCATCGCCTCCATTTGTTCTCTGTTCAGGCCCATACGTCTCTTCGCGTGACTGCCATCTTGGAGCGTAACAGTGCGATTAGACGCTGCGCCGTCGAGCGTGCGTGTGCTGCGCCATGTTCCATTGTATACGCAAACCGCAACGCGCCGGCCCGATGTTAATGTGCCGCTCGTATTTATCATTAATGTTCAAGTTCCTCGCAGCAACCGATAAGCCAAGCTTCGAGTTTTATTGCTCAAACTGGATTAGTGCATCGTCAAGCGAGTGCGCGTTGCGTATCACAATGAAAACATAGTACTTTGGGATTACAAGTATGTATTCGAGTACTAAGTACACATGTTAGATAATATTGAAATTGGAATCTGAGAACGAATATTTTGGGAATATTTTTCGTTTTATTTAAAATGTATCTAATAGATTTTTTAACGCGTTATACCTGTGGCATGATGTCTTCTAATAGGCAATCCTTCACTGCCGGTGCTATTAGACCTTGTTCGCATTTGAACCTTTTCTGTTTCTGGAAATTGAAACAAACAAATTAAAATTAAATCAGAAAACAATAAAAACTTCCATTCATTTTATTTCAATTAAAAAATCTTTAACTTGCATTCAAAACCACTATCACTCCCGTTTAAAATTTTGCATATTGATATACCTAGATGGCGCTGTTTTACATAAAACCTACCGGGCACGAATCCTTCCGGAGGGGGACAATGCAAATGTTTGCTGCCGGTGATCATCAGTTGGTTCCCTGACAAACTTCCGCCGATCGTCGCTTCCGTTTCTATATCTGTGAATCATAATAATTTAAATCATAAATTTTATTNACTATCACTCCCGTTTAAAATTTTGCATATTGATATACCTAGATGGCGCTGTTTTACATAAAACCTACCGGGCACGAATCCTTCCGGAGGGGGACAATGCAAATGTTTGCTGCCGGTGATCATCAGTTGGTTCCCTGACAAACTTCCGCCGATCGTCGCTTCCGTTTCTATATCTGTGAATCATAATAATTTAAATCATAAATTTTATTTTTATTATGTTCAAAAGAGTCTCCGGATTCCCATGAACTTTAAAAACAATTCGATTGCTCGTTTTATTATGCAACTTTAATGCCCTAAAGATGATAAGCAAACGAAATCACGGCCCAAAAAACACCGCATCCAAATTTAGGGGCTACCTTCGGTTGAAGTTTTAGTTGCATTGAAATAACGACTCTTCTATTAATCAGAATCAAAAAAATTATATAGAATATTACGATAAGGAGATAGCGGACATGAAATCAGGTAAAAATACTCTGATTTTTAATAATTATAATAATATGTACCACTGAGTGATTTGGACGTCTCACACTGCGTGATACTTGTAAACTTTGTATTTATGAATTGCGTGAACGATCTCGCGGCTTACGTGTTGAGTGATTGGTTAACCTAAATGAATAAGTACTTAGCGGCAGTTATAGGAGGAATGGTAGTATTCACCCGGGCGGGTTTAGAATACGCCTTACCACCCAATTTTACTATTGTTTACTTTTTTATTGCCTTTGTAGTTTGTAGGCAGATGATTTTACGGCTAGGTTAATGATGAAGATTTGCAATTTTGAGTATTGCCAAGGTCATAGCTACTGTGTACCACTGAAGAATCCCAATTACCACGGTGGGTACCAATTTTTCTAATGAAATACGTACTCAACACATGTTCACTATTGACTTCCACGGTGAAGGAATAACATCGTGTAATAAAAATCAAACCCGCAAAATTATAATTTGCGTAATTACTGGTAGTAGGACCTGTTGTGAGTCCGCGCGGGTAGGTACCACTACCCTGCCTATTTCTGCCGTAAAGCAGTAATGCGTTTCGGTTTGAAGGGTGGGGCAGCCGTTGTAGCTACACTTGAGACCTTAGAACTTATATCTCGAGGTGGGTAGCGAATTTACGTCGTAGATGTCTATGGGCTCCAGTAACCACTTAACACCAGGTGGGCTGTGGGCTCGTCCACCCATCTAAGCAAAAAAAATATCTCCTGCTACTTTAGTTACTAGTGTATAAAACCGTACCTTGTTGCGGTTGCACATCGAGAGACCGAGCCTCCCTCCTGGCTGTTTTATTCTCAAACTCCTTACGCCTCAGAGCGACGCTCGGTTCCAGTCTGGTGGTGGAGAGTCTGGCCAATTCACTTCTAGCTACCTCCGTTCTCCTCTCGCCGCCGCCGCGGGCTTCTTCGAGCTGCCTCGTTCGGGCGGTCACAAGCTGCAACTCTGGTACAGGATATCTAAAATTTGAACCGATAATTAGTTGTTATATTTTGGAGAAATTTAGGCAATAGCACTATTCCGTAACATACGTTTTATAAATATACATGGTAGTTTGTTATTTAAGATATTTTAACGTTATTATCAATTCAATTTGGACTGTGTCGACGTTTATACCAATTCGTTTACGACTGCCACTTTGAGCGACTAACTTTGACTTATCACTTATTTTGTATTGTATTAGGCGAACATAAAGTGATATCAGACGAATAACAAGTCATTTGCCTGAATAAGAAATTAAAATGCAAATTTTGGAATTCCTTACGACGATGTTTGTCCGCTTTTCAACGTTTCGCTGTAGTTAACTTTCAAAATGTAATCTCTATACCTACATATAAAAATGTATTTCTGTTTGTTAGTCTCGCTAAAACTCGAGAACGGCTGGACCGATTTGGCTAATTTTGGTCTTGAACTATTTGTGGAAGTCCAGAGAAGGTTTAAATGGTAGATAAATATGAAAATGCACGGAATTAAATAAAAATAACAATTTTATTTTTCGTTTGATGTGTGTTGTGTAATTTTATACAAAAGTTTAGGTCTTTTATTTATCGATTGAGGCACTACGAAGTCTGCCGGGTCAGCTAGTTAGGAATACGAATGTTGTTATGAAAAACTTTTTTTTTATTGCTTAGGGTTGTTACTCTAAACAAATACTCACTTGTTATCTTGATTGTTTTCGAGTTCTTCCTTAATGTTAACTTTGCCGTTCGCAGAGCCATTGGTCAAGCCATTCTGACCGTTGGTCGGCAACAGCTCATGTATTTTCGATAGGGTTGTCACAAACTGACTTTTGTCCTGTTTTAGTCTGGTCTTGTCGGCGGCACCGTTAACTTCTCCATAGCCGCTGAAGGTTCCGCTGTCCACGCTCGCGCATTCATCTTTCTTTTGCTCCTGTGCGGGCTGCGGAGGCGGAGACGAGGCGAGGGGGGGCGACGCTGCGGGGGGAGGCCACGCAGGCTTCTGCAACTTCTGCGGCCTCGCGTAGAACTCCTTCTGTTTGATAGACGGGGGGACGTCAGGCGTCACCCATCCGATTGGCTGGCTGGGTCGCCTCAGGAAAGCTTCCTTCTGCTCCAAGCTCTTTCGTATTCTCGAGAGGATGATCGAGTCGTCTATTTCTCGGCCCGTCAGAGTCGAATTCGAGTCGAACGAACCGAGACTGTCTTTGCTTTCTGTGGCCGATGATGGCAGCGAAGTATCCGATTCTCGTCTTCTGAATATAAAAATTACCAATAATTAAAGATTGTGAATTTGTATTATGTATAAACAGGGCCGGATTTAAACTTGATGCCGCTCCTGGGCACCGGAAAAAATGTCATACATTCCAAAAACATAAATAAATATTTGTTTTTTTTTCTAACAATTATAAATTTTGACAAAGGTAACTCAATCACATTTTATCAACAAACAAAAAAAAATTTTTAATTTTCTTTAATTGGAGAAAATAGAAAAGTCGATTATTATTTTATATGTCGAAGGAAATAAATAGATTAAATCATTTTGATTATTAATTTTTACCAAAAGTGCCAAAATTATAATTCACAAAAATGGATGAAATTGAATTTCTTGAATTATCAATTAAAAAGAAAATTATTAATTATTAGAATTAATTAAATTTATTGAGCAATGTTGACAAGACTAAACAAAAATTTTTACTTTCAAAATGTTTGCCGCCCTAAAAATTTGCCGCCCTGGGCACTTTGCCCCGACTGCCCCTAGTGTAAATACACCACTGTGTATAAACTATTGCAATAATGTGTTTGACCGCTTACCCATCATGCATAAGGTAGTGCGGAGCGCTCAGCCGTCCCATATCGAACCGCGACGGTGCGATGGAAGCCACGCTCGCGTACTCAGGGTCGTCTCTGTGTCGAAGAGGCGCCTGTGGAGCCGGGAGCGCAGCCCTAGGTCTCCGGTGAGCGTCGAACAATCGCTCGTGTTCCGCCACAGGGGCAGGCATGTCTAGAGGTCGCTGATTCGTTTCAGGATTGTACGCGGCTTCGCTGAAATACTACAATAAGGGAATGAAAATAAACATATCGTCTTTTCGAATTAAAAGTGCAGAATTTCCAAAAGTATTCGAAATTGAGTTAATATGCGGAATATTTTGGTATCACCAGTATTTTTCTCATAAATACTGTCAAAAGAGCGTAGTTTAGTTTTTGTTTTTTAGTTTACCTATATTTTCACTACTATTAACAAAATTAATACATAATTTTATCTTACTTTAAAAGACAGATAATGAAACTGGTAAAAAATAAAAATAAAATGTTGCAAACGATTAATATGATTAATATTAAAATATCACAAGTTAAGCTTTTAAAACGCTCTCCTGTGAAATTAGTAAGCTTTGAGATTATACAGTTTTAATGCGAGAAGACGATATGTGTTTTTAAAAGTCGTTTCCATATACGTTTACGGCTATATTAATACATCTACAGCTCTAAGTTTCTTACCCTTTGCAGCAGATCGTGGTCCCTTGGTACGACGGTGAGCCTCAGTATTCTTGGTTCTCTCTGGGCTAGTTGCACGACCCTCGCGTACGGTGCTCGTGATCGTCCACACGCGACCGGCTCGCCGTTGACGGCTAGCACCCGGTCGCCGGCTCGGAGCCCTGCCAGCGCTGCTGGTCCTCCCGGCCGGACCGATCTTACGAAGATTGTGTCCATTGGAGCGCCCACCGCGCCCACGGCCAAATGCCGCGCATCTTCGTAAAGGTCCTAATGAATAAAGACTCTTCATAATAATTGTAATTCTGTTACTGTTATCCTTTAGCACCATTAAAACTTGAAAAAATGAATATGTATGTTAGTATGTAGCTTAGTTTCGAAATACGAGAATCTCGGTAGGTAATCATCGTCAATATTAACTTTTTCTAAAGGTGAAGGGACGTGAGGCCTATATTATCCCCTGGACAGAGATATGTACTTTTCAGGATATTATCAGAATGGCCCTTCTACCCATATCTGTTCATAAAATATTTATAACTACTGATACCATGCACCCCATGCTTTTTTTACAATAAAATAATTTTTTCTTACACTATTTTTAATTCAAATTTATTAAAATTTATTTTAAATTTTTTAGTTGGATTTTTAATAAAAGCGTGTTTTTTTTAAACTATTATTTATTTTAAATTTTTTAGTTGAATTTCAATTTTTTCAATATTTTTTTTAATATTGATTTGTCATCGGTCCTTAATAAGTATACCAAATTTTGAGTTAATCCGACGTTTTGAAGGGGGTCAAAATCATTTCAATGATTCCGTTACATACTAACATACATACGTCTGAACCTAATAAAAACGTATTAAAAAAATATATGTGCAATTCACACGTGGTAGAAATGAAACCTTCAAAAATTAAAATATTATTATCCTAAATTTCTAACTAAGTACATATATGTAAAATTTTGTCATTAGTAAATAATTGTAAATCATCTTTTATAGTATGAGGTAGCGCCCTCTGTGAATTGATATTTTAACTTCACGTCTAATGTGTTCTATCTCATTCTCTCGCCGGCTGAATCCTATACATTTATGTGTTTGTGTCTCTATGAACTTATTTTTTCGTTTCATCGAGTTTGAAATCACAACGATCCAAAGAAGTTTCACTTCAAAAAATGTGACTTACTTGAATCGACTCCGGCGGATAAACGACTAAATGTCTTAATGTAAAACCGAAGCCGTGTCTTGCGTCTGGACGCTGTATGACGATGGTCCGAGGCGCGGCACACGTAGACGCGGGCACCGCAGACGGCAGGGGCTGAGCGTGGACTGGTGGCTGAGGCTAGAACAAAAAAAAAACCATGCGTTCTCAAAGTGTTCGGAAGAAACTGTCGATGACTGAGATATAAGTTCTAAGGTCTCAAGTATAGTTACAACGGCTGCCCCACCCTTCAAACCGAAACGCATTACTGCTTTTACGGCAGATATAGGCGGGGTGGTGGTACCTATCCGCGCGGACTCACAACAGGTCCTACCACCAGTAATTACGCAAATTAAAATTTGCGGGTTTGATTTTTATTACACGATGTTATTCCTTCCTCGTTGAAGTCAATCGAGATCATTTGTTGGGTACGTATTTCATTAGAAAAATTGGTACCCGCCTGGGATTCGAACACCGGTGCATCACTCAACACGAATACACCGGACGTCTTATCCTTTAGGCCTCCTTTCCTCTTCTTAGTAATCCTTTATCTAAAAAAAAAAGTTCCAATAGTAACACAAAAAAGACTAGAAAGAGGGTGGACTGATTTACCTACTCAAAAACGACAGTCTCTATCTAGTCTATGCCGTCTTGATTATGGCGCTTGCAACAGCATTGAATTAACACATAAGATATGAAAGTCATTGTAGGAACCATTCAGTCATCAGTCATTGTAAAAATTAGTGTATGTAATGTAGACAATAGCGTAAATATAAAGCAATTCGTTATTTCTTTAACTACCTACGCGGCACGGAAGCTATGGAAATCGTGCAAAAAAAGTGAAGCGTCAATAAAGCATACATGTACTTTGTTGAAATGAAGAACTCATACGTGTCAGACTCCGTGGATAGTGCTCAGCTTAGAATCACTTAGTTTCATCTATAAATTCATTCCTCTCAGTCGTATACTCCTGGCGGAGTGGTCGTGATTACGTATGTCTTAATGCCTTGGTTGCGACTTTTGAGAAACTTCTCTCTCCATCTCTATAAATAATACTACATAATTCTCTATGAACTCACAATTCTCTAGCATTTCAAATAAACATCTGACATGACGAACTTTAACCGGTATATTCTAGTTTAATCCGGTTCAGGAAGTTCGTTACATCGGCCTACGCTGTCATTATAAGTCTTCGCCGCGTCCCGTACGAGATAACGGGCACATCCTTGCAAAACTTAACAGGAGTCGATTTAATAAACTCGTATTAATATTTTTGTTTCGTTGACATTTCAACGAATTTCATTTCTATCATTATAGAGAAAGAGATTTAAAACGGTTTGTTTATTTTTTCTGGATTGATGAGCATATTCCTTTTCCAGTATCAAGTGTACGAGAGTGGTTATAGACATCATAACGTGAATAACGCCATCCACCAATTCCTACTTCAAGTCGAATCATATGACTGCTTCAACGCATGGTGATACGTACTAGAGAGTGCCCCCAATACTGGTAGTATTAGGTATGAGTGCATTTGTTACGGTGACGTTATTTGATAAATGTCCTACAAAATTTAGTTACAAAATAATTTGATTAAAATACTGGTACTCATGTCTAAAGGCTAGCCAGAAAATAATTTACAAAGGAGCACGTGTTATGAATCACAGAAGCCGTAAAGGTGCTTACATATAATGTTACAAAGATTAAGTCCTTCTCTGTGGCAACAGATTTTCTGTGTTCGCGTACACCCCTATTTCCGGATTTATAGGGTTGCCTCTAGAGAAAATAAAATTGTCAGTATATAATTTTACGTGATATACGTTTATTCAGTACTGATCTTTATGTCCCATATAACTTATAAGATTTAGAATAATTTGAAAGTGTTTAATTATATTAAAGAAACAAGATTAAAGCAGTGCTTCAGATGTACGACGACCTGCCGGTCCACGTGGCTTCCACCGCTTACCGAATTTCTATATGCTCCACAAAGGGAATGCCGCCGTTCCCCCTAAGCAGCTTGAGGTCGAGGTCTCAATTTGACGTCTAAAAGAATTTGAAAATGAATGAGAACAATACTCTAGACTTTAGGGTCGAGACACAGGGATGAATTTTCTTATTATCAAATTTTTACATTTCAAATTTTATTTGATTTTAGAATATAGTTGATTTCAATGGATAACTGAGCAGTGCAGATATAAGCAAAAACAGAAATAAACAATATTCAAACTAAGGATCGACTTACATGGTATTTTTTTATGTAACATGCAAATGCAATTCCGGTTTTCGTTTTGATTAAAACGTATACGACCGTTATTCGATCGGATGTATTTTATCGATTTAATCGCTTTTCCGGGTACACAAAGGTCACTAGGACAAATGAGATCATAATTCGTTAATTAAATATTTGTATCGAAAAGGATTAATAAAATTGTTCTTTTTCTTTGGTTTTCGCTAGACGTAAACATAATTAAGATTGGTTTTATCGCTTATCTTACATGAGATTTGAATATTGGGCAATGGTTTGATTTTTATTACACGATGTGATTCATTCGTATCGTGATAATGAGTTAAATTGGTATCTGAATGCAAAATTTGAATACCGGCATAGCGGCATCTCTACGAGTACATCGGGTACGATTTTTTTTTTCTTTTTTATCTTACCTATGCTGATAGCCTTGAGAGGCTATTTCAGCTTCTCCTTGATGTGTAGGTGAGCTCACGGAGCTCAAGCCGGAGTTTTGCTAACACTGGCCCTAGCAAGAGCAGTGCTTTGCAGAATCTGCCACCGGATTGGAAACGCGACCCACTGAGAAGATTCGGCGAGAAACTCAGTGGGCTGTGTCTATGGGTTAATTCGCTCGTCGAGCCCTTTGTCGCAAGCGACGGGTTCGGCGAGGGCGGTGACCGGTGCTTGAGGTACCTAAAAGCGCCGTTAATGGATCGGGAGGATCCGTAACAACGTGTTTAGTGCGACGTGGGTTGTTTACCATTCGTTCCACAGGATCGGGTATGTGGGTACGATATCTAGGCCAAGATTACTTCAGAAGTGTTCCATAAATATCACGAATGTGATTTGCGTCTGTTGTGCTATTTAATGATTGTCTTACCTTTCAATTCAGGTCGGGTGAATGTTTCAAGCCAGTAATGATCAGGACGATTCCATTAGAGGATCACACAACTACCGTCAGTGCAAAAGTTATAATTTTTGAAACAATAATACTACAAAATAAAAAAAGAATCTTAAACTTTGTTTTGTTCGTTAAAACCCTACTTTCTATTATTCAAATGCGGTAATTATGCAAATCGAATGTTAATTAGGATTAGGCAATCGAAATATGAACGTGTTAAGAATAAAAATTGTTGACCAAATATGTTATAAAACTTTTCATTAAACGATATATAATATTTGAAGATGTTTTCTCTTTTATCGCTAAAACGAAAATAGGGTTGTTCGTTGCGAAATAATTATTATATTTATAATTAAATGTAAAAATTATATGGGAAATAACTATAACTTTATGTGCTATTTGTTTTTAATGCACATTCGATTATTATTTGGAACATAGTGTGCTATTTTTGGTATTTTACTGTTTATTTTATCAAAAATGTCCGTTTCGAATTAAAGGACTGCTTTGCTATCTGTAAAACAAATCAGCGTTTCAAGCACTAATAGTTAAAGAAGCTAATTATATTATCATCGTTTTAATTCAAAATGAGACCACCATGCGTTTGATATCAGTAAAGTACATAGCAATTTTGTAATGGGGTTTTTGTCAGCCCTGTTTCTAGGCATTGCTCATAAAAATTTATAGCCGAGTATTCCGCCGCGTAAATATTTATAGGTACTATAAATGTCCGATAATAATAACTGCAGTACGACAAAGTTCTCGAGGAGTTCTACATTCTGTACGCGCAAGGGTTTAAATTTTTTATTGCCTTTAACACGTTGACTGCAGGACCGTTTGTGTGTTCGATAAGGTTTTTCGTAAATTTTATGAGAGCTGAAATATGTTAAATAAGTTAGGCGTATTAGATACGCCAAAGACGGAGCCTCTTTCAATAAATTAAATAATTTATACTAATATATAAATATACAGTGGTTTTTACGGATGTTCCGTTATACCTACTGATACATGCATCCGATTGACTTGAAACTTGGTATCCATGTAGAAAATACATGTACTTAATGGATAAGATAATATTTATATGAGTGTTGGACTCCCTACACCAGTTGCGGGGGCGTTAATGATGAGAATCTTGGGGGGGTGAGAAATAATAATGTTAATTTTAAATGCTCAGCGAAGCGGACGGGTACAGCTAGTAATAATATATTTACATTTAAATGTCAAGCACGTAACTAACACCCAATTCAACGAATAAACTTTTATCATAAGATTATATGCTTTAGTTCCGTAATCTAGTCCCAAAAGACTACTAACAATTAAAATAATACATATAGCATAAAAAGTAAAAAAAAAACACGCTTAAAAAGCAATTAACAACTTCTTTTTTTAATCTGTTGTAACTGGTCAGGATATCAGAGCGAAGTTACAAAATTATTCTACATATTATCATGGGTCCGTGATGTGTGCAGAAATTTTCGAGTTACTACTACTACTACTACTGTACGCTATGACCTCGAAGTGGGTCTTGGCCTCCGACAATAAACTTGCCATTCATCCCGGTGCTGCGCAACACCTTGCCAGTCCAACAATTGGAGCTCACGTAAATTTCCCTAAACAACGTCAGACCAACGGTGCTTGGGGCCTCCCTACGGGGCGGCGTCCCTCCGGTACACCTGTTTTACAGCCCGATCGTGCTCCAATTTTCTAGTTAATCGGGCGTTTTGAAATGAGTGTAAATGACGTTAAATGATACCGTTGCACACACACATACATACATGCATACCAAGCTAATGAAAGCGTGTTAAAAATAACTGGAATCCGCGACCAGTGGTTTAATGATACACAATATTTCATCTTCAAAAGCTGTCCGCAGTCGACCACCTGCTGCGACCTCGGATATGACGGGTCGACCACACTAATCATTGACAGTCGTCAACCGCGTATTGTATTTTGACGGGTTATTAACATCTGCTATTTAGGGTACGCGCTGTTAAAACAACTAGTGGTCCCGCAGTAGTC